CTGTGAATAGGAAGATGAGGAGACAAAGCAGAGCTGAGTTTATGCTTTGGTGAAAGAGGAAGTTCTTAGGCACCTGCAATTCAGCCTAAAAAGAGAATGCAGACATTTCTAAAGTGAAAACTAGTCAGCATGGCCTCCCAATTAAAGTATGTGACCACAGAAGCCATCTAATTTTAAGTTACATTAGTGCATGTTTGTCACAGACCTAGATGTTAACTGAAAGGACTGACCTAGATGATCTAACTGACCTAGATGTTAAAGTCAATGAGTTGTAGTGGCCAGAAGTTAGCAGGATCAAGCTAGTTAGGCCTGATCAAGAGCTAACATCTACTGCACAAGAAAACTGGCTGGAGGTGAGAAGCAGCAGCACACAAAGCCCTCCACATGCCAGGGGCTCCAGGAGATCTGTGTGTGGCACCCAAACCAAATGCAGCAGATCTGGGTTTCTCCACACAGCAGAGTCTCCACCATCTACAGGTTAATGCTGTTTGTTTTAATCACCATTATGAGTGGTCCAATTAAATACCTCTCCTTGGACATCAATGCAGGACATAGAAAGGTGAGTTAAGATCAAAGTCAGAAACACATTCATTTTATTAATAAACATTTTTAGAAATTGACAAATAAAAAGGAGATTCTCTACGCTATGGTACCTGGAGGATAACTGTAGAAAATGAAGGAATCCACACTTTGCAGAACCTAAAAGCCCAGACCAAAAAATGACATGCACACTCACAAATACACATGCATGCTCACATCTTTCCTGAACAAATTACTGACTCCTAAAGATGTGACTCCAGAAAAAATGTCAAAGGGCCTGTGTATACACATACTCGTGCTTACACTTATATAGAACAGACTGCCCCCAAATTCTCTCAGAAGTAGGGGAGCACTGGCTTGGAGTTGAATAGATATGAGTTTGAATACCATCTGGCCACGTGTTAGCTGCCCTTTGATGGGTCACTTAATCATTTTAAGCATTAGTTTCCTCATTTGTAAAATTATGGTAATAGCGACTCATTGGCAAGGCTCCATGATGTTACCCAAGAGCTTAGATAATCCATATCTCCAAATTGTACTATCATCTCATGTGTCTTGATGCCTGCCCTTATAGCTCTCCCTGCACAAAATTCCCTCCTTCTCCTTCTTTGCCTCGCTAAAGTCAACTCATTTGTTAATCTTCATTATCACATGCTCTAGGAAGGTTACCCTGATACCACCATTCCTGAAGCTGGACAGGTCCTCACTCTGTTCCTGTGCTTTATGATGGCCCCTTGTCACGCCCTGAAGTACACTCTGCTCAGCCTTCTCCTCGACCAGAAACTTTCTGAGAGTTTTCTGATGTGTTTCCACAGTGCCTGGCAAACATGTTCTGATGGTCTTGGTGACCAAACAAAAGGTCTTGTCTAAGGAAAAGGAATAAGGGATATACAGGAGCCAAAGGCTACAATGTACCTTGCTGAAGATTTTGACAAAGGGAAATCAACAATATCAAATGTTGCAGAGAGGTCAGGAAATAGGACAATTGAAAAAAAGACAACAGACATAGAAATTAGGTCCCTGGTAGATTCTGGGAAATGTGATGAGTGTCAAACATTAAATGTTTTGGGTGATGAAGAAAGAAAAGTAGAGGTGGGGGGGGCTCCTGCTTCTGGGTGAAGGAGAAAGTGAGATTTCCCCTGACTGAGCGAGACAGGGTATAAGGCCAGACGGGGGCCATGGAGAGTGCAGAGCAGGGATAAGACAGCCCCTGTGAGGATCTGACTGGGAGTTGCTATAGTCCGAAGGTCCCTTCCAAAACTCACTTGAAATTTATTTGTCATGTGACAGTATTAAGAGGTAGGACCTTTAAGAGGTAATTAGGTCATGAGAACTTTGGTGTTACAGATGCCTTTTCTGTGTCACATGCTCATTTGCTCTTCTACCACGTGATAACAAAGCAGGAAGGCCCTCACCAGACACAGGCCCTCCATCTTGGACTTCCCAGACTACAGAAACATGAGCCAAAGAAATCTCTTCTCTTTATGAATCACCCAATCTGTGGTATTCTATTATAGTGGCAGAAAATGGACTAACACAGGAGCCAAGCAGGAGAATTTCTGAGAAACAAGGGGGGTGTGGCTAGTTATAAAGAAAGAATAGTAACTTCTGTAAAATCAACTGCTTCTAATGGATTCCTCTGGGGTAGGTCTATGACCTAGAAGCAGAGGACATTGTTTACCCACCCAAAAGGATCTGCAATACTGGGGGAGAGAGGAAAGGCCAAAAATCAGGGTGCAAGAAGTTCTAAAATATCCAGCCCACCATGCAATGGGAAAGGCTAGGAGTCTGGTGATAGACTTAGAATTAGATAATACTATTAAATAAATAAAAAAATTTTAAAAATATAAGATGTTATAATGAAATATTTTATAACATAAACTGTTATTACATATGACTATAAGATCAAATAAGTAGCCCACACATTAAATTCCTTGGAAACCACATAGGCTACACACACCGGCACCAAGAGACAGAGACAGAGACAGAGACAGAGACAGAGACAGAGACAGAGAGAGAGAGAGAGAGAGAATACACATCAGGGCAGGGAGATAAAAGCAGCAGTATGAAAATGACTTTAATAAGTTTAGAAATGTACACAACGATCACAGGCAACTATACTATTTTCTATTAATGTAAGAATTAGCTGAAAAATATTTACCTCATAAAAAAAAAAAGAAATATCAAAATCATTCCCTTCAGGCCGGTTGTGGTGGCTCAAGCCTGTAATCCTAGCACTCTGGGAGGCCGAGGCAGGCGGACTAATCGAGGTCAGGAGTTCAAAACCAGCCTGAGCAAGAGCGAGACCCTGTCTCTACTATAAATAAATTAAAAAAAGAAATTGGACAACTAATATATATAAAAAAAATTAGCCGGGCATGGTGGCGTGTGCCTATAGTCCCAGCTACTCGGGACTGAGGCAGCAGGATCGCTTGAGCCCAGGAGTTTGAGGTTGCTGTGAGCTAGGCTGACGCCATGGCACTCACTCTAGCCTGGGCAACAAAGCGAGACTCTGTCTCCAAAAAAAAAAAAATCATTCCCTTCTAAGAACTGAATAAAAACCAGGAAGGATGATGCACATGATAGGCAGGTGCTGATAAAATGGTGATTCAAAAGCATTCCATTTTTTATATACATTTTTACTCCTAATTATGGAATAATTTAAACACACAAAAATAGAAGTATAGAAACTAATGTTGGTAATACCAATGCACCAGTCACTTGTGTTAATATAGTAATATCAGACATATTTGATTCAGAATTAAAAAAAAAAAAAAGTATCACAGATACAGCTAAAGCCCAACCACCCTACCCCATCCCTTGCTCTTACTTCCTAGTAAGCAGCATTCTCAGTGTAGCGTATGTTGTTTCCAGCCCAGCCTATGTGTAGTGCTGCCCCAGGTCATATACGTTGTTATTCCATGGAGAACTTAATCTTTTTGTTTTGTTTCTAAATGGAATCTCACGACCTTTTAGGAATTTTCTAGGTATTATAAATAAATGATTATTATCACTTGTTCAAAGGAGCCATCTATAAAAAAAAACTATTTAAATATCCAAAAGTCCACAAGGATGGAAGGATTTTGATGATCTATAATTAGTAAACTCAGGGAAAGATTCTAGACTTCAGGGCTACAAAGAATGTAACATTTTCCTGTCAAAGGTCCCAACTACAGCAAAGATGTTTACCTTCATCACCATTTATCAAATGTCTCCTTTGTACGGGGTCTGAAAAAAAACCACGCTACTCAGCAAGTGGTTCTTAGACCAGCAACATATCACACCAAACTCCAGACCTATGGAATCTCAGTCCTCATATTAGCAAGATCTCCAGGTGTGTGCACGTTAAAGTTTGAGAAGCACTGGTTTAAAGAATTCAAAAAGGTGAAAATCTAGACCAAGACAGAACCAAATCCAATCACTATTCTGCTAAACGCATCCTCGTCCTATTAGACAGTATAGTTTTCAGGTGTTATCTCTACAAAGTCTACTCGATAGTCCTTTGAACCAGTAGTAATCAACTGAGGGCCATTTCATCCCCCAGAGGACAATTGGCAATGTCTAGAAATATTTTTTTATGTTAAATTTTTAAATAAAACTGTGTTCCTTTTCAAAAATTTTTTTTTCGAAACAGAGTCTGGCTCTGTCACCTGAGCTAGAGTGCAGTGGTATCAACCTAGCTCACAGCAACCTCAAGCTCCTGAGCTCAAGCAATCCTCCTGCCTCAGCCTCCCAAGTAGCTGGGACTACAGACATGTACCACAATGACATCCAGCTAATTTTTTCTATATTTAGTATAGATGGGGGGGCTCACTCTTGCTCAGGTTGGTCTCCAACTCCTGACCTCAAGCAACCCTCCCACCTTGGACTCCCGGAGTGCTGGGATTACAAGCGTGGGCCACTTCTCCCAGCCTAGAAGCATTTTTGATTGCGACAACCTGGGTGGTGGGGTGCTACTGACATGCAATAGGTAGAAGTCAGGAATGTTGCTAACTACCCTACAACACAGAGGACAGCCTCCAATAACAAATAATCACTTGGCCCAAAATGTCAACAGGAGAAAGGTTTTTTGTTTGTTTTCTTGTTTTAAAACAGACAAAAATACCTACATTAGACCTATGATTTTTCTGACTAAAAGGATAAATTGTTAAAATCAGTAATTGATTGAAGTGATTTGAGGATATATCCATTGAAGGAAAATTATAAACCAATAACCAAAAACGCTTCATGCCCAACATCCTCAAAGAGTTTTTAAGTTTCCCACAAGAGTTTATAACCAAATCAATAATCATCAATCTTGACAACAAAGAACAAATACAGTGAAATAACAAATGCACATGTTCAAGTATTTTACAATTATATAAGCTGAATAAAAAAAGTTAAGTATAGATATATTTATCCAATAAAAACAGTCTGGTGCTCAATTTAACTTAATTCTTTGTTTTTCTCCTGTCATACAGGAACCTTAGGGAAGACACACTTCGACCTCTTCAAGATGACAAGCACTCACTGGGCAAAATTTCTTCATTGAAAGGAGACCTCATAGAACACAGAAAATTTTAAAAGGTAATTGAAGAATCCCTTAAGTATTATCAAGAGCTTTGTTAATTTCATCAAAATGCTACAAAGGAATGATTCCTCTTCGGAGAAAGAATTAAAGCATATAATTAGGATGTGGAAGGTGGTCCATATATAAGAGAAAAATGGGTAATGGAGTGTAATTACACAGAACATGAGTAAGAACTCAGAGCTAAGAATGCTTTTATTATTAGTAAGACGAATGTATTTCTGGAGTGAGCATTGCTTTGTACAGCCCTGTATCAAACCCACCATACCCAGAGCCAAGCACACAGGGGCTAGAGGGAAGAGGAGGAGTAAGTGCTAATGAAGGGTTTTACAGAGGAAGCGATTTGGAGTAATTATTCCTTCTATATGAAGTCTATAAACTGGCAAAATCAAGTGGCCAAAAATACTTTTAGTTTTACCATAAGCAAAGGAAAGGCATAGATGAAGGGAAAATATACAGAAACAAGATATTATTATGGGAAGGAGCACATAAGTTTGCATGGATATCATTTTCTATGTGGATTGTGCTGAATTTCATATTTCACATTTCCAAATCTCCCTTTCTCACACTTCATTTTACTGACACAGCCTGTCGCTCACTGTTAGAAAGCATCGTGCTGGGCACCGTAAACATAAAGGCCAATGAGATACACTCCCCGACAGCAAAGAACGCACTCTCCTCCGTGGGCTCCTTCCCCATGGTCCTGACTAGATCCTGAGAGCAGGGATTCATGTGTTGTATTCCCAGATTGCATATTCATTTATTGCACAAATATTTTAACTATGTAATGTTCTAAATATTATGCTAGGAATATAATGGTAAAGAATGACGTGGTCTCTCTCCTCTGAAGGAGCTTACAGTAGTGGAAGAAACAAAAACAATCAGCTGGACAGATGAGTGCTGTGGCAGGAGAAAGGCACAGAGTCATAAGCACATGCAGAAGGGAGCCCACCCGCTCACCAAGGTTTGGGAAGGTGAAGCTTCCTAAAGGAAGTGACATGACATCCAAGCTGAGGCCTCATGAGTGAAGAGAAGTTAGCCAGCGACGAAGGCAGGGAAACGGTTTTCCACGCAAATGAGAGTCTGTGCAAAGGTCTAAGGTGAGACAAGTCATGGAACCTAGGAGGAGGAAGGAGGGTCCAGGACAGCAGGAACTCAGTGCTGGGGGTGGAGGAAGCAGAAATCAGACCAAGAAGGAACTTCAACATTAAAGACTGAGGACAAGGACAGATGTATTACATATAACATGTGCAATAAACATATGCTTTACCAAATAGCCTTTTGAATTAATTTTAATCTTCCCTCTGCTCTAAGTTAATATTTCTGGCATTAGTAAGAATATACAGGATTCCCTAATAGAATATTCTGGATAATACACAGCATTGTCCAATAAAAACATATGTGGGCCACATACATCATTTAAAATTTTGTAATAGCCATGTTTTTAAAAAGTAAAATTAAATGGAATAAGTTTAATAACATTTTATTTAATGGAGTATTTCTAAAATACTATTTCAATAGGTAATCAGTACTAAAAAAATATTGATATAATTTACATTTTTCCATGCTAAGTCTGTAAAATCTAATGTACATTTTATACAGAACATCTCAATCTGGACTGGCCACATTTCAAGTGCTCAATAGCCACAAATGGCTAGTGGCTACCATACTGGAGAGTGCAAATCTTGAATGTACTTTGAGAAGCATTTCTGAGAGTTTTTATATATTTTTTATCATTTGTGTTTGTTTTCTAATTTATACAAATAATGCAATTCAGTTTTTCAATGTGTGTGTGGGGGGGAACACAGAAAGAAGGAAAAAAGGAAAGAAGAGGGGTAGAGGGCAGGAGGGAGAAGTGCCTGACTTACACAGAGTAGATGGTTAGTTTCAATAACTTGGTGAGTTTGGCCATATTCACTGGCCTTGGCTTTACTACTCGGCAAATGACTAGGAGGCCATAAATTTCCTTTACTTGAGTGACTAGTTCGCACCTCTTTTCAGATCTTTGCCTTCAGAAGTTACAAGATGAACAATTCAACCACCGCAGAGCCTCCAGATAAGTCCTGCTCCCAAAACACACTGATCACCCAACAAATCATTCCTGTGCTATACTTCGTGGTTTTCATTGCAGGGATTCTACTCAATGGAGTGTCAGGATGGATATTCTTTTATGTGCCCAGCTCTAAGAGTTTCATCATCTATCTCAAGAACATTGTTGTTGCAGACTTTCTGATGAGCCTGACTTTTCCTTTCAAGATCCTTGCTGACTCGGGCCTAGGCCCCTGGCAGCTGAATGTGTTCGTATGCAGGGTCTCAGCTGTGCTCTTCTACGTCAACATGTACGTCAGCATCATGTTCTTTGGGCTCATCAGCTTTGACAGGTACTATAAAATCGTAAAGCCACTTTTGACTTCTTTCATCCAGTCGGTGAATTATAGCAAACTCCTGTCAGTTACGGTATGGATGCTCATGCTCCTTCTTGCTGTGCCGAACATTATTCTGACCAACCAGAGTGTTAAGGAGGTTACACAGATAAAATGTGTGGAACTGAAAAATGAACTGGGGCGGAAGTGGCACAAAGCATCAAACTACATCTTCGTGAGCATCTTCTGGATTGTGTTTCTTTTGCTAATCATTTTCTATACTGCTATCACGAGGAAAATCTTTAAGTCCCACCTTAAATCCAGAAGGAATTCCACTTCCGTCAAAAAGAAATCAAGCCGCAACATTTTCAGCATCGTGTTTGTATTTTTTGTCTGTTTTGTACCTTACCATATTGCCAGAATCCCCTACACAAAGAGTCAAACAGAATCTCATTATAGCTGCCAGTCAAAAGAAATATTGTTCTGTGTGAAAGAATTCACTCTGCTATTATCTGCTGCAAATGTATGTCTGGACCCCATTATTTATTTCTTTCTATGCCAGCCATTTAGGGAAATCTTATGTAAGAAATTGCACATTCCATTAAAAGCTCAGAATGACCTAGACAATTCCAAAAGCAAAAGAGAGTATACAATGCATGAAAGCACAGATACTTTGTGAATTCCTGTACCCTTTCAAATTATGTCCTTGTATAACATGTTGTCATCTTCAATTACATAAGAGGAATGAATAAGAAACATGCCCATTATAAACATCATCTCTAGCATTGCTATCCAATTTAGTGCATTAATAAAATTCAAATGTAAGTTTCCATGCTTTTCTGTAGCATCAGAGGAAAAAGTACCCATCAGTGGATTTCTCTCTTAATACTGTCCTTTTTTATTTCCTGTTAATAAAAAGAAAAAAAATTACATACAATTATTCAGTCCTATTCCATCCAAATAGGTTTAAATTTATAATCACTACTCTGGTCAGTTAATGTAGAACTTTAAATAGTAAATAAGGAAAATAGGAAGTAATTAAAGATAATTGACATGGGCATCTTATTTTTCTAAACAAAAGAATCAAGGTTAGTATGTGATTTTTTTCCAACAAGGTCCCTAAAGACCAACTTAAAATCAGGTATAGTTTGTAGAAAAAAAAAGTCAAGTTTCTCTGATTTTAAGAAGCAGGATAAGCAGGCACCCAGAAAGTCACTTAAGAAATCCTTTACTGATTTATCTCTTGGCACTACAGTGGAAAACAGATATAAATTGTGTAGTTTCCAATAAAAATGTAATGTTTTTCTGAGAGCATCCTGAGGATGATATTAGATACATGCTAAATATATTTTATATAAAGACATATTAAGCCCTCTAATGAGTCCAGGGTCCTGGTATTAAAATATTAAGTGAACTCTACTGAGAGAAAGTAGATATTGGCACGTTACCAACAAATTCCCCTATTCAATAACATGGGAAAAAATAAAATGACTAGGAAAAAGACACACACCCTAGAACATATATTATTCTCTTGTTGGGGTGCAGGACACAACAGTTTTCCTAGAAAGCAAATGGATTTGATTTTTAAAAATCTAAAATTTACAATAACAACTATAAAATTACATATAAAAATTCACAAATCACATTTTCTAGAAATTAGATGAATTTAATGTATGAAGATATGGGATATGGTTGTTGGCTTATGAGTTATCAAAACTAAATTCTCTGCTATTAACTGGCTAGAAGAGACATTCAAGCCCATCTTTCAAATGTTCCACCCATGCAGTTTTCCAAGTAATGTTTGTACCTATTTCATGCTTTACTGTGTATGTACTAATAAAGAAATTATTTTTAATATTGTCATTTTTTTCTTAATAATCAACATATGAGGAAACATTATTAGATTTCCTCACAGTCAAGACATGAGTGGTTTCTTTAATACTCTTAATTATGCATGCTAACACAAAGAAGATAATTACATAGAAAATTCAAAATTTCTATTTGCCAATGATTTTTCAAAATAAGTATTTTATAGGCCCTAGGACATTATGATAGTTTGAGCAAAACTCAGAAAACCCACTTTAAATTGAGGAAGAGTTGGGAAGGTTTGCACTTTTAGTATTTACTTTCTACCTTACTAATAGTTCCCTGCTCTCAACTCTGGGTCAAATATTTTCTCTCAAAAAGAAAAATCACTGAGCTATGATAAACATGCTTGGTAAACTAAGCTTGCTATCATTGTTTGCCTAAATACATTTTCAAAAATAAATTGGCAGTGTTTATATTCTTTCACAACTGCCACTGGCCAAGACAACAAATGAATAAATACTTGAGTTTTAAATGCCCCCTGCTGGGCCATGGGAGAAAATGAAAGTAAAAAAAAAAGAAAAGAGTAGTAGCACCATTACATAATGCCTTTGAGAGAACTGTGCTAAAGCACACAAATAATGTGGAAGCAAGATTTTTGATGACACATGCAGTGTAGATAAGGATATTGTACAGCAACAGTTGAGTAACATTTACTGCACGTCAGAACTTTCAGGACCACAGTGATAATCAAAAGCAAAGTAGCAGAGCACTGGCAATAATGGATGAGCCCAGAGACTTCCCAGAGATCACCAGTGTGAGTGCAGGTACACAACACAGAACACTCTCCCCGTCCTTCTGTACCTAAAGCTATCGTGCAGACCCTGCAGTGCTCAGGGTGCTCACCGAGGCTTACAACTCAGGTGCCCACTGTAGTGGCAAAGGCGGCAATGTAAGCATGGCTGTAAGAAAACAGGAAGCTGAGGATGATGGTGGGCTGAGGGCTTGTGCCTCACAGGAATGGAGGCCTTTAGCCTCCAGACAATTATTTTTTCATGCTTCAAGAGATATAAAATCACAAATTTTTTAGACTTCCAGGCCAACAATTAAAAGAAAACACACCTGTGTATAGAAAATGTCAAAAGCCATTCTGCAACATCTGTAATGCAGAAATCTAACCAAAAGTGTTCAACAGTGTCTCATGACTACAACTAAAAATCTCAGTTAAATAAGAATCCTGACATTTTCACTGAACTGAGATTCCATTTTGATGCATAATTGATTCAACTATTAATACCTATACAAAAATGTTATCTAAAGTGTTTTTATAAAAGGAATATTTGAGATAAGAAGGATCAAGAAATAAAGAGGTCACAGAGAGATCATAATCATATAAAAATATCACACATGACACCTACCCACTGAGGTGGATGAACCTTGCAGTGGTCATTTGCAAAGCGTCATCAATAGTAGCACTCATTTATTCACCAACTCCTCAGCTTCCATCCTGTTTGCCCAGCAATAGAAACAAAATTTTCCTTTGGGAAAGTCCTGTTTCCCTGTTCTCAACCATATAGCCTCCCATGGGGCTGACCCGGCCCCCACGTCAGAGGCAGGCCATAACTGGCTGTAGGTGAGCAGCGTGTCTTATTCCACTGGCCACAAGTTGGGATGCAACATGACCCAATTTGACCTAACTGCAGCAAAATCCAGGTTTCTAAAGAAATTCTCTGGAGGGTGTGCTATGATGATGTAAAGTCTAGAAGTGTGTCTTTCATTTGGCTACCATAAGTAGAGAGCCTCAAGCGCCCTGTGAGCTGAAACTGGTACCATGGAAAGCAGACTGAAGAAATGGTGCATGGTCCAGACCCGGTCCTGGCTACACAGCTGAGCGCCTGCCTCAGCCCTCACCTAAAGCAAAACCCACAACTTTAGACATTCAGATATGTCATCCAATAAACCTCTTTCATTACATAAGCCCAATTTTAGTCATGTGTCTTTTTGAGGGGAGTAGGGGAGCACCTACAAATGAGAAACTCTTGATACACTGGCTTTGTCTAAAACAATAATCCAGAAACTCTGGAAAACACCTTCAGGCTAAGCTTTGCTTCTGCTTGATGTTGTTAGTAGTATGCACCATTAGTTCTGTATCCTGTCTTTAATCCTATTGCTACCATCTATATCCTTTAACTCCAGAAAAAGTATCTAGGATATTAAACATAAAAGGTCTGATTTCAAATCAAAAGTGCAGTTTGTTATATCTCAAATAAGCAGCAGTACAATTAATCAAAGTATGCACCTAAACTATCAATGCAGTTTTGCCATGGTAGCATATTTATGCCAGCGGTGAAGAAGCCTGGAGAACGAACGGTGATGAAACAGCCAAAGGTGTTTTTCACAACTTGTGGAAAACTGAGTATTTTTCCCTGCAAGAAGTGGTTCAAAGCCTAGAAGAAGTGGCAGTCAGTTGGTGCAAGGTCTGGTGAATATGGTGGATGACAGAGGGTTTCCAAGTCTAGTTTCTACAGTTTGAGCAGCGTTGTTTGTGTGACACGCAGTTGAGCTTTGTCTTGCAAGAGGATGGGCCTATTTCTGTTGAGCAATCTTCGCTGCTTAATAGCAAGCATCCTCATCATTTCGTATGGTTAGTTGCAGTAGACATCTGTTGTAATCGACTGACCAGGTTTCATGAAGCTGTAGTGGACAATACCAGTGATGGACCACCAAACAGCCACCATTACCTTCTTGGGATAAATATTTTGGTTTTGGACTGTGTTTCAGCACTTCATCTTTATCCACCCATTGTGCTGAATGCTTGCAATTGTCAAAAAGAATCCATTTTTCATTACATGTAACAATACAGCTTAGAAATGGTTCACCTTTATGTCACGACAACAAAGAAAGGCAAGCTTTGAGACAATTTCTCCTCTGACACTCATTTAATTCATGTAGAACCCATCTATCCAGCTTCTTTACTTTGCCTAGTTGTTTCAAATGGTTCAGTGTTGCTGGAATAGTAATGTCACACTTTGCTGCTACTTCACACATAGATTGAGATGGATTCGCTTCCACTACAGCTTTCAGCTCATGATTATCCACCTTGGTCTCAGGTTGCCCATGTGGCTCATTTTCAAGACATCAACATACTATGTATTCTTTAGCCACATCCTCCCCAAACGCTTCATTGATATTTTGAGCTGTCTGCACTGCATTGGTTCCACAGCAGAACTCATATTCGAAAACAACACACATTTTTAACTTACACATGGTTTCACAAAAATTGCTCTAAAAGTTTTTTGAAAAATAATCACAAGCCAAAATATGTTTAAAAGACTGAGGATGTACCTTCACAATAAAAATAAGAGGTGTCAAAATGAAATTTCAAAGACATCAACTCTCAAACTTAGTACTTAAGGAAGTCAGACATTTCATACTTAACAACCTAGTAAAAATACAAAAAAATATCTATGATACCAAAAGAATATTATACAAATTACAAACCTAACAGAGCAACCAAAACAAACAAAAAAAAGGCATGGGGTTTCTCATAGGTAAGCAGCACTATGAAGGTTTGTGTGTTTGGTATCATGTGGTCTTCAGTAAAAACCAGTACTTCCTTTTGGTCACTAGTTTCTGCAAAATACCAATGGCATGTGGATTACCATTACATGACAGGACATCCCCCAAAAAGAACCATTTTAACAAAATGCAGCTTTCCTTCCCCATAGCCATTTTTAAAAATGCTTTAACCATTTCATAGCACTGCTTATACAAAATGATTAAATGTTGTATTAATTTACCTGTAGTAAATATATATATGATAAATGTTACATATATAAACCAGCTACAGAAAAGAAACAAATAAGGTGCTCCCTAAAGTAGTTTTGGGGGTTTTAGGTTAAAATATGAGACATTATTCCATGCCTACATCATCCCCTTCAATAGAAGTTGGGGTATGAGCATAAAGGAGATGTTATAAAAAATAGGCCCATCTTAACAACAACAAAATACATAGCAAATTTTCTCACTGATAAGGTTTATGAGACTACTTGTTACTTTTTGAAGGCATTCACTGTATGATTCTACAGCTTCTCACCTTGCCCCTAATCACAATTAAGATCTCTTCCCCAAGCCACCTTATTCCACTTCCCAAACATTATCTCAAGTTTGTTGGGGACCTGTGATGCAGGGCTTTAGACCAGGAGCGAATTTGCTCTTCACCAGCCTCCAGGTGTCCCCAGCCTTAACCCCCATGGTAGCAGAATGGCAGGTGACACTCACAGCTGTGCTACCTGACCCTTCTTTCCCCAAAACCCCTTCATTCGATGAACTACCAAACCTGCCCAGAAAGTGTGTGACAAAATCCTAAGTAAGGGCTTACTTTCCTATCCTCTCATTTCCTGACATAAAAGAACACCAAGAAAACACGGCTTTCATTGTCTCTGTGCAATATTTCATATAATGTAAAATTATTGAGATTCTAAGCTAAAAGAGTATCTCTACATTTAACTTGCAGAATATTATTTTCTTTTTTTGTGGGGGAAGACTTGCAGCTTTTTCAAGTTGTTAACTATTTATGCTCTGCTTTCAATCATTAGCTTTCTGAAGGAATGCCAGCTCTCTCTGCTGTCTTACAGACTAAAATGAAAAGGTAGCCCTCATTCTGTTTGTAAAGGAAAAGTCAATTTCAACTTCATATCAAATTTACTTTCTTGTTAAGAAAAACGCTATTTTTTAAAAAAAATGCCATGACCAAGTATATTTCCTTATCTGGCTAGCTATTGTTATTAATATGAAAATAGGTGAAAAATAAAATGCTCTTTTTTAAACAAGAAAACCAGCATTCCCATCAATGCCATTCAAAATAAGAGCTCCTTAAGTGCTTAAAAAGTACATACAGAATGTCCTGGTTAATGACGAATAAAGCACTGAGGAATATTTAATACCTTAAGGGACAAAATAAAAATCAATCTAAGCTATATCAAAATAATGACGTAGCACTAAAAACCTCATAAGCCAATAAACCAAACTCACCTCTCTACCTGCCAGACCTGACGCTCTCTTCAGACTGCCCTTCCCAGGTCTGAAACCTCAGTCTGCTCTCGTCCCCCCCGCACCCGCAGTTATTCCACCTCGACAGTGACTCCAACCACTCATCCCTTCCCATATAATTTCAGATCCTCATTGCCTCTCACCTAAAACAACTGCAATCATCCCCTAGCTGGTTTTTTGTCTTCCCCTTTCTCTCCTAACTCAACAAGCCCCAATGCTGCCAGATTTAACTAATACTGAACTGACAGCTCCTTTCCTGGCATAACCATGAGCTCTTCTGCTGCTTGCTTATGAAATTCCTCGGGAGCATCCAAGATTTGGTCTCAGCCTTTTCCTCACATAGATCCTGCTCAGGTACCCCAAGTCCCCAGGTTGGCTGACAGTCCCCAAACACACATCCTGTACCCCAACTGTCTGTGTCATTCCCAAAGCATGCCACTTTTTGGCTCACTTGGAAGAAGTATTCCTTCACCCTACCTCAGTCACGAGGATGACAGTTCCTGGACTCCCACAGGCTCTAACAGTGTGGAGTAGGTGACAGGATTTTTTAATACTCCTTCTACATAACTTTTAAAAGGAATAAAAATATTCTCTAGGATATGAGCTCAGGAGACAGCCTGTAATCAATAAATATCTACCTGATCACAAAGCCCACATGGCTGGGCTTATGGTGGCACATGCCTATAGGACCAACAACTTGGGAGACTGAGGTGGGAGGACCACTTGAGCCCAGGAGTTGATGCCTGGAGTGCATTGTGATCACACCTGTGAATAGGCACTGCACTCCAGCCAGGGCAACACAGTGGGACTTTGTCTCTAAAAAAAAAATTCACAAGGCAAGGGAAAGGGAAAATTTCTCCAAAGCACCTTCTCCTGGAAAGTAACCACAGGGTTTGTAAAATGTGTTCTGTGCTTTGAAAATCTGTTAGTCATAAGTTCATAAGAAATGGACTATAACCACTCAAATGGGAGAAATAAAAAGAAAGCATGAACTTTAGTGATTAAAAAGAAACAAAAAAAACAAAAACAAAGATAGCCTTTAATAGTTTTCGTGTGGATTTTCCCCCATAAATTATTTTATAACCAATGGGTCAAATAGCACAGTCACACCTCACAACTGAAAGGTAAAATGAAATGCATGTGGACTCAATAACACTATACAGTCAATAAAAAGACAGACAACCAAAATGACTGGCAAGAGGAATATAATATACCCAGCCATTCTATTAACGGAGTTTATATTAAAGGAATGTACAAAATAACATTTGCCTTCAAATCATTTCCAAATGTGTACTCTTTTCTTAAAAAGGGAAAATCAAGATAGTTTAACGCAGAAATAGTAACATCGTAGGAGCAATTATGTCTACATCTCACTTTTCTTTTTTTGAGACAGAGTCTTGCTCGTGCAAGACTCTCCTAATCCCCTATTCCTCAGGTTTTTTTCTTTAAGAAAGTAAGTTCTCAGACCCGTGCCTAGCTGTAGCAGTGGCTTCCTAACCCAACATTCAGTTTCCCTTCCTCAGTAGCTCCAGAGGGCTTCCATGCTGTGTTTAGAAAGCAAATTTTAAGAAGGTTAAACATTAAAAGCAAATGCTTCAACTGAATTATGTAGTTTGATATGTATGTTCAATGAAATCAAAAGTACGGTTTGCATGGATAAGAAAGTTGACTATAAAAACACTTTCCCAATTCATAACTTGGGGGACATTTTAGCTTTAATTTTCATCTTACACATAAAAATTACTAATACCTCATTTCTTAAATAAAAAGTATTGCCATGACCAAGGTAAGGGAAAAATAACTTCACCTCACTTCTTCCCACTTGAGTTTCTGAAATACTGGGTTAGTGATGACATACAATTTCCTGGAACGCTAACAAAATACACTCTGAAAAACACTTGTCCTCAATAAAACAGATAGAAATGGCTTGTGGAAAAATAAATGGAACTCATGTGGAAAAAAAATATTTCCACTGTGAATAAATTTATACACAATGCCAAGCTGCCTAAGCTCATTCTCAAAAGGAAGAATATGATTCGGTTTTACTAGTAAAAGATGAGTTCTCACTATTCCAAAAAAGAAATAGAACACCAAGAACTGGGGCATTTCAGTGCTTCCACGTTGGGCAATCCAGACACGAAAACTGTGGCCTTCGTAGATTTTTAAGACCAAGGAATTAAACATATAAACATACCTATTTAAAAAAAAAAACCCAGAAACCTTGCCAAACATCTTTCATCCCAGTTTTCCTTCATGCCATGTGAAAACCATTCACCACTCCATTTGCAGCTACCTTCATTCATCTCTAAATTCTCTCCATCCCAGCTGCTCTACTCTCCAGTGACTGTGAACCCTGATCACAACTTCTCACTTACTTTTCTGCAAATGTATCTTTTCTACAAGTGTGTTCTTCAATGAGTCCTGTCCAACAACAAAGCACACATATATATCTTAAAAGATGGATCATTTCTTAGCACCATTATAATGAAAGTTAATACTGGCTCTTAATCAAAAATCAAAGAAAGTTTGAGAACCATTTGTTTTTTCCCCTCTCTAATTTATAAGGAAATATAATAATATATAAGCAAATCACATATATAATTATATATGTATATATGTAATACAGTACTCATTAGTAAAAATAATAATATGAATGTGGGAGAACACCAGAATATCTAAACAAATGGCTATTAATATCACTAGTATCCTTACATTTTTTTCAAAAGTTCCCTTACACTTTTTCTGAATTCCCCCTAGCTAGACAGTTCACATTTTCTCCTTGAGAGATTTTTCTTTTTAAAAGCTAATACCAAAGGATTCATTGTAGATACTGGAGAAGTTTCTTCTGACTTTTTTCCTAACTGGAAAACTGACCAATAGTAACTAGGAGAAAAAGATGAGAAACCAAAGCCAACGAAGCATTAGAAGAAGACAGACCTTACTACCCAGGCAATGGCTTTATACTTACAAATCAACTTTGGACCAGCAAATTTAGAACCCTTGACAACAAATCAACTTTGGACCAGCAAATTTAGAACCCTTGACAACAAATCAACTTTGAACCAGCAAATTTAGAACCCTTGACAACAAATCAACTTTGGACCAGCAAATTTAGAACCCTTGACAACAAATCAACTTTGGACCAGCAAATTTAGAACCCTTGACAATATGCTTGTTAGGTCTCCCACCATGCTAGGCTCCTTCCAGACATTCAATAAACATTTGCTCACACACAGGCAGAACAAACATTTAACCAAGCAATTTAAATGCATGCTTTAGGGTTCATTTACATATAGTGTATTAATTATTAAATACCTGTCTCAATTAATTAAGCCATTTGGGTCAAATTGACAAATATTTTACTGGTCTAGTCTCATAACTTAGAAAAACAGATATAATATGCTCCTAAAATGAAAAAACTGTAAGCTATAAGATAGTACACACAACATAACATTTTTTTAAGTGGGTGCACATAAACTCAGAAAACTTTTTAAACATAAAGTACCAAAAATTTGGTGCTGTTAATAGTAATTATCTCTCTATATAATGATAAGTCCTCTTCTATTTTCATTTCCAGATTTTTCAACAATGAACAAAAAAGAATAAAGATAAATAAAACACATTTTACCAGATTCTGTTAAATCCTATCTTTTGGTTTATTAACATGTCTCAGCAGAGATAGAAACTCCAACAATATTTTTTAATCTTAAGTTTAAAATTCTGGTGTCACTATGTATACTAAAGAAGTATTTTCTTAAATGCCTTACATTTTTAACTCATAATCCCTTTCAAGTCATAAACAGTGACATTGTTTGAAATCATCATGACATAGAACATATATATATATATATATCTTAGGTATTTAAAAAAAAAAAACAGGCTAAGCCAGGAATGGTAGAGCACACCTGTAACCCCAGCTACTTGGAGGCTGAAGCAGGAGATTCACTGGAGCTCAGGCTGCAATGAGCTCTGATCACACACTACACTCCAGCCTAGGCAACAGAGTAAGACCACATCTCTAAAAATATTTAAGAATTAAAAAAAAAAAAAAGCCTAAGTACTACAATAGACAGGTGGAAATCTTTTCTCTAAAAAATATTGACAAAGCTGAACTGCTTAAGAAAGCACATGAGAAATTATAAAGAAAAAGCTACCTAGGAGACTTTCATGCAGTTAAACTACTTGCAAACCACAGCTTCGTCTACGTCAATATGCAACATTTTTAAACCACACAAAAAGGAAAGGAAATTTTTAGTAAAGCCAGCAGCCCTGCAATGGGGTGTTATTGCTGCAGCTAACTGAACAGTTCATGCTTCTCTGATGACTTACAGCTAGGCTCGCTGAAGCCCACAGAAGATACCCCCAGGTATGTCTTTTTAAATATTTAATCTATTCAAATGATTTTCCAACAAAGACAAATTTATGTTTTTCGGTGTTTAAATAACATAAGTAGAAAAATTCAACATGTAACAGGGTTACTATGTAAGAGAGCACCAATTATTAAACTCTAAATAGGTTCTAGCTGTGAACTACACTATGCTTTTCTTGTATCTGATGAGCCCATCCGTCTCAAAAGGACAGCTTAATTCACACCAGACTGAATACCTCTGTGAGCAAGACTATTCAATAATTCAGTTTTATAACTGGATGGATAAAGGCCATGTTGTAGATCTTAACAATAGGACACAGCAGGTCTTAAAATGACTTTCCTCTACAAACATTACAATATGTAATTTCAAGAAAATTCCACCATGACTCTCATAGAAAAATCTAACAAGTTTATTTTCTAAGCAATGGGCACTCTATCCAGACAAAGCAGACACAAAATCTTTTCTTAATATTGCTAGAGTACTTTAAACTTCTCTCTGAGTACTTTAAATTTCCACTAGCTAATAGTTGGTTGAAAAATACTTATTAAGCTCTTAGTTCTCAAATTTGTGACAGAGAGCATAGGATGTTGTTACAGTGTAGATTAACCTCTAATGAATATAACCAAAAATTTTAAATTAACAGATTTTTCATTGCAATCTAGACAGAAGTTCATAAAAGCAAATGTGAGACACTCCATGATTCTCAAGCGTTGTTGATTAGTTTCACTGTAACTATTTTAAATAAGCTACTCATATATCATATATACAGTTAGTTCTAATTAGAGAAAATTAATCAAAACAAATTATTCTAATTCTTCTCTGTACCATATAAGTCTCATTGATAAAATGAGACATTATTGTACAGTTGTACAAGAATGGGGCACTTAAAGAAACACATTATTATGTTATTATACTATTATTATGTAACATTTGAAATAAAAGAACATAAGCCAAAATCCTAGCACCCTATAAAGGAATGATGAGAAAAGGTCAGTGATGAGATCAGTGTAGGGCAATGATAGTTTTTCACATAGAGGAGAAAAGTACACTCGGAATTCCAAGGTACAAGTAAATGGTGACTATCGAAAATCATGGTCATAAGGAAGTCAGGAAAGTCTAAGAGTGGCTTTCATATTTGAAAAGATTCCTTCAAGCGCTTAGAATAAGCGGAATTCAGAAACAGGAAGGATACAGGCAGAGAGCCTCAAAAATAATCAGTAAAGGGCAGATGCTGGCTTACAGGAACAAGCCTCGAAATCTTGGGCAACACACTAGTGCCAGAGCTCAGTCTCAACTGATTTGGGGATTCGTGCCATCCCTAAAGGTTCCATCCATCCTTAAAGGCCTATGATTACAAAATTGTTAGCATGCACAACCATACAAAGGCAGTAAGGAACTATTCATAAAACAGTGAAGATTCCACCAATCTAAAGTAAAAAGTTGGGATTAAGAGAAAATAGGGACGGTAGGGAGGAACTAGGGTACGGGAACTTTGAAAGGAAAGTCAATTTAAACGTATCGGATAGGACCTAGGTTTGGTTTTTAAATATACATACATGTTGTAAAATGAAATATCAAAATACACGAAAAACCTAAACTTCTTTTATTATTTAAGGAAAAGATTAAAAATGAATATTTTATTTTAGCTCCTTTATATAAAAATTGCTTAGAATATAGTTCCTGCCACATAGTAAGCCTTCAGTGAGGATTGGCTGCTGTAATCATCATCACCATCATCATTATCGTCATCACCATTATTAAGACCATGTTTTGGAGTGGCTTTGAACATGGCTTCTGAGACTGGGTTGGAACTCTGGTTCTATAATTTACAAGACTATATAATATTGGCTACTTGACCTCTTTATGCCTCTCAGTTTTCTTATCTGTAAAGCAGGAATGATAAAACCACATAGGAATGATGAATAGTTTAATAAGTAAACATCAAGCACTTAGCACAGCACCGGACACAAAGCAAGTGCTTAATTATTTTCTGAGTTTGGTAAAGAATGACATTATTCCTAAACCCTAAAGTCCTAACTCAGGTAGGGAAAGAGGAATGGCACATATACACTTTAAGTGACATTTTAATTTAGAAAGTTTTATGTTCATCTGCTTTATTAACCTGTTGGCATATATTGTTTCATTCCAAAATGTACACAATGAATCATCAACTAATTGGGAGAATTAAGATTTAGAAAGGCTTCAGAAGTTTTGTGGTTTTTTGTTTGTTTTTTTTAAAGAGAGTTCAGAGAATGATTGATTTGGCATTTTATGTCAGCCACTATTACTTATTATTTGCTATCCTTATAAAGGTTGATAACAATTTTTTCCTGCTAAAATACAAAAATAATCTTCTGGTCTTTGAAACAAAAGAAGGTTTAATATGCAAAACGAGGACCCATACCAACAGGCAGTACCAGAAAGAAATATTTGTGACTCTAAACTCATAGTTTGACCAGACCAGATCAAAGAGAGACCAATTAGTTTATCTAGAGATTATAAATCTTTTCTAGATTTGGAGGGGACAAGATTTTATTGTCATCATCAATGTTGATCACAATGGTTCTCTAAGGATATGTCTTATCTTTAGATAAGGATTTGGGCTTTGACTACCTCAAAACCTACAATGAACAAACAAGTCACCCAAGTGTTAAAGTTAGATGCATGTTTCTAACCTTATTTAATCAAATGGGTATCAAACTCAGCCTCTCTTAGAGGATTTTATAACCAATAAACATACTTTCATGTTCTAGAATATTTTAAAATACATTTTCACAAAACTACTCAAAAAAAAAAACCGACACAGAAACATCTATACCAATACTTTTCAATAAAAATATAAAGCGAACCACAAAGGTAATTTAAACTTTTCTAGTAGGTGTATCTAAAAAGTAAAAAGAAACAGGAGAAATTAATTTCAATAACATATTTAACCTTATATACCAAAAATATCCCTTGAACATATGCTCAATGTAAAAATATTAATAATATTGATATGGATATATTAAAGATAGTTTACTAATTTTTGGACTATTTGTATAAAATGGTATAATTTGTACTACTTTTATAATATTTTGTCCTAAATCTTCACAATCCAGTGTGTATTGTACATTTACAGCACATATCACTTTGAACTGATCACATTTAAGTGTTCAGTGTGGCTAGAGGCTATAATCCTGGACATCACAGGTCTATTAACATTATGAAATTGGAGCAATGAAATGGGAGGAAGTAAGCACTGATGCAAGACCAGATTCTAATCTTTCAACTCTTTCTGTTAAAAAGATAAGGGAAATTCTCTTTCTGAAAATGCTTTAATAGGTTACACAATAAAGAGCCTTCCTTTTAAAAAGCACTTTTTAAATTCTACTACAATTTTCTATCACCTCTTTCCTCTTCCTGCATAAGCAGAAAGCCTCATTGAAAGGTCTCCAGGCTCAACCACAACCCTAGTTTCCTCTCCCCACTTCTCAGAATCTCAGTTCATTTACCTCCTCTGCAAACTAACTTCCAATTCATCTGCTAACAAAATAAGTTCCAGAATGCCAAAGCATGAGGTCAAAATATCCCCTCCAAAAGCAAACCTACATGGGATTTCCTGAAAGTCACAAATCAGACAAGGGAAAACCTGGGCTTCCTCGTAACCCGAGACGCTCTCACTAGTATGTTCTTACCAGACCACGTGCTCTAATAAGTTCACCAATAAAATTCTATCTAAGAACTAGAAAGACAAGGGTATTGTGAGTGCAAATGCTTTTAAAGAAAATAGTTTTGAATTTTAATTCCCAACCTCCCCTCCCTTTTTTCTTTTGACAGATTCTTTGGATTTCTTTCTCAATTTAGAGAGTCATCTTCACTTGCTCTCAAGATGACAAACAGTTCATTCTTCTGTCCAGTTTACACAGATCTGGAGCCACTCACATATTTTTTTTATTTAGTTTTCCTTGTTGGAATTATCGGAAGTTGTTTTGCAACCTGGGCTTTTACACAGAAAAACACGAATCATAGGTGTGTGAGCATATACTTAATCAATTTGCTTACAGCCGACTTCCTGCTCACGCTGGCTTTACCAGTGAAAATTGTCGTTGACTTGGGTGTGGCACCCTGGAAGCTGAAGATATTCCACTGCCAGGTAACGGCCTGCCTCATCTACATCAATATGTACTTATCCATTATCTTCTTAGCATTTGTCAGCGTTGATCGCTGTCTCCAGTTGACACACAGCTACAAGATCTATCGAATACAAGAACCTGGATTTGCCAAAATGATATCAACCGTAGTGTGGCTAATGGTCCTGCTTATAATGGTGCCGAACATGATCATTCCCATCAAAGACATTCAGGAAAAGTCAAATGTGGGTTGTATGGAATTTAAAAAGGAATTTGGAAAAAACTGGCATTTGCTGACAAATTTCATATGCATAGCAATATTTTTAAATTTCTCAGCCATTATTCTAATATCTAACTGCCTTGTAATTAGAAAACTCTACAGAAACAGAGATAATGAAAACTATCCCAATGTGAAAAAGGCTCTCATCAACATACTTTTAGTGACTTCAGGCTACATCATCTGCTTTGTTCCTTACCACATCGTCCGGATCCCATACACCCTCAGCCAGACAGAAGTCATATCTGACTGCTCAACCAGGATTTCCCTCTTCAAAGCCAAAGAGGCCACAATGCTCCTGGCTGTGTCCAACCTGTGCTTTGATCCTATCCTGTACTACCACCTCTCAAAAGCATTCCGCTTAAAGGTCACTGAGACTTTTGCCTCATCTAAGGAGATCAAGGCTCAGAAAGAAAAACCAAGATGTGAAAATGATGCATAAAATATGGGATTTTTTTCATGCTATCACTTTTTGCCTTCCTGGATTGTAAAACTTACAGTTTTAAAAGAGAAAAAAAGAATCTCAGTAAGAAAAAATACAGAAAGCTAGCACACATGGACCAAAGGTTTACTTAGAAATCCTGTTTCTAAATGCAAGCCACACCTATACTCTTATGGTTGTTGATACCCCTTAACCCAAATATTTGTACAAAAAACTAGAGTCTTGTTGAACCAATGTAAAACCTGCAATCCCCTTGATATGCAAAAGAGGTCTATGACATAGACCTGGAGGTATTCATGACACAGTCACTTAAATGCCTGGGGACCTGACTTCTTGATAAAAATATATAAAACAATCTCCATTGCCAGAAAGGCCTTCAGCAACACAATTTTATAGGTCTTTAGATCACTTTAAAAAATAAAGCGCTTACATGAAACAACCTGTGCCTGATTTACTTTTATTTAATCTATCACCTCAAAGATGGTAACCTTTCAGCTCACTACTCCTCTAATTTTAATAGCTAATTTTTTAACACAATAACTAAAAACATTTATTTATAAAAAGGCTTCTGGAAATACATGGATAATTTTAATGTATTATATATACTTATATTCTACCTACTGGTTATAAATAAAGGCTTCCTATTGTTAGTAATGATAAATCTAGTGATTTCTTATTTTTACATCACAGTACTATGCAACACACAGGTCCTCTAACATTTTCAGGGGAAGTTGTTAAATTATACTAACTACTGAAACTACTGTTTTGGAACTAGTAACTCACATCAAAGGTATGGAAAAATAGCGCCAATCAAATGGTCTTAAAATAGACACACCTACTCCACACATAGCAAGGCCACATTAGGAAAGCAGCACAGGCTGGGCTGAATGGTGTCACTCTGATGCAGAAAGATGAGCCTCACTCCATATGGGGAGCAGCAGTTTAAAGTATGGGTGACACCAGCTCTCAGGGTCACAACCCTTTGTTCAAATTCTGTCTGCTGCAGGCTATGCAGAAAGGATTTAATACATGGCATTAAAAAAAAGAAAGACTTATTAAGGAAAAGAAAGTTGGAACATTTTAGATAAGTATACATGAGACTTAGAGTTTGTTTTTAATTCCATTAGTAAAAGCCCATATAAAAACAGTTGGTAATCCATTTGCACTAGCTGCAATGATTAAGAAATGGCGTTCTTTCATAAGCTAAGAAAACAAGTGTGTTTCCAAACTCATTTTTACATTTGAAGAGTTTTTTTCTGAAGCTTGAAACTCCTATCTACAATTTCACAAATATATCATGAGTGGGAATATGAATAACAAATGTGAAAATGCACAAAGCACCTATTACAAAACATGTAATATGGTTAAGTGATACACAAAATCTAGCCAGCTACTAGTAATGACAAAAAGTCCTAGCAGCATCACACACCTGACGCAGTACAAATGACTTACCTAAGTTATCGACTGGTAGAATGCCTATCCACCAGAACCTGTGTTTGTTGGTAGTCTAAAATATTTGTGTTACTGATGGGCAGATCATGACATTATTTCACGTAACAGAACACATGAAACTAGTTTATTTTCTCAATCTCTGGTCATGTCCCCTTTAGTCCTCTCTCCTTGGACTTCACTCACTAGGGCCACGTATATTTGAGGCAGGAGAAATAAAAAATATTTTTCCCCATATTCTTATATTCTCCGCATATGCATAATAGGTTAGTCAGATTTTCCCTTTTGATTAAGAAAAAAAAAAAACAGACTCTCAATAGTATTCCTAATGTCAATGTTATATTAGTATTTAAGCACATCCTTTTGTTTTCCCCGCTGATGGCTTCCTCTGAATTGCACTCATGGTAAAGTGGGGTTTAGGGAAACTGGTAGTAGAAGACTATTAAAAAAATTGCACCCTATAATGTCAGCTGTCTAGCAGTTCTTTTATGATGGCATTACAGTTAAATTATAGCATGATTCATCATGAGACCTGGTAACTAGAAATCATTCAAGCTCTTTCTTCTAATGAAATAGTTCTTAGCATGCTAAAAGCTGGAAGTGACTGTGAAACCAAGGCCAGGTGAACAATAAGATAAAGAAGCTGATGCTTAGTGCCCTGCTGTGATGCCCAGACACAAGGAGGAGGGAGACCTCCAAAGCTCTCAAGGTTATATGAGAAGCAAAAAACCCTCAGCTGATTTCAACCATTTTCAACATTTTCCCACATTTATTTTATTTACCTCCTTCTTTTTTTTTTAAATAAACATTTTAATTTGGAATAATTTCAGATTCACAGAAATGTTGCAAGACAGTACACAGAGTTCACCCAGTGCCTTCACCCACTTTGTCCCAATGTTAATGACTTACAAGAACAGTACACCTGTTCAAACTAAGAAGTTAATATTCATACATTGCTGTTAAATAACCTCCAGACTTTAACATCCTCCATTTTTTTACTCTTAATATTTTTAAAACAAATCCCAGACAGCATGATATTTCATCCATGATTTTTTCAGGATACATCTCTAAAATATAAGGTCACTCCTACTGCTCCCCTAAATAAACTGTGAGATTACTCCATTACGATGAAAATGAGTGACATCTACAGGTAAGAGTTGAAAACCATAGATATATTTAAGCAGTGATGAACAAAAATGAATTTCAGCAAGTTTTGACATAGCCCTGGACATACAAAAATTACCAACAAAGAGATTTTTAATTATAATAAGAAAAAAATATGGATTTAGTGATTTTGAAAGTTATCTCAAAGAGGATATTCCAAAATACAAAAAAAACCACAATATTTAGTTTGCAAATCAAAAACCTCCTCAAAGACAAGGAAATAACATACCTAACAAGTACATTTTTGATATATAAAAGTAACACTCAATGGAAAAAAAAGACTTATTGAAATTGCACTTAATATAAAATTCCAGGAAAAAAGTTAATAAACCAAAAATAAAGATTATTTTCATCAGTGTGCAGATAGGTGGATTGAAAAAATAATAAAACAATGTTTTCAGATTTTGGCCCAATTTTTATTACTAATATCAAAAAACTAACTTTGTTTCCCTTTAGAATAAAGCACATAACTCTGTTAAAATTCAAACACTAAATTTCCTGTCAAGCATTTCCCATTTGCTATCCAGTTCTTAAATTCAATAGGTCCAAATCCAAATCTATCTCATATATTGGCTTTTCTATGAAGTCTTACCCAATTTCTCAACCAAATGATCTCTTTCCCTCCAATATTCACTCTTTGAGAATGGAAGAGATTCAGGAATGTCAAATGGTTCGCCTTCCAGTGGGTATTTGAGTTTTTACTCAATTATTGCACTTACTTGAGGGTTTGTCATTTATAGATGTTTGTCTCCCTCCTATTCTGTGCCTCAAAACTCTTACTCATCTGGAGAATACCAAAAGTATCTACTATAACACAGCACACATAAAAGCTACTCGGTAAAGTTACTTTCAAATTGAAGTAGGGAAACACATTTAGACATCATTTGCAGTGAGTCAAATGCTCTTAAGGATATTAATATAGAAAATTGCATTTTCTAAATTAAAACAGCTAGTAATATCACACCACAAATTTGGGCTACATCAGTACATAAGCTCTCAGATCAGAATTATAACAAAAGTAGTAGCAAATGAAAAAACAAACATACCTGCTTTCATGATGCATCAGTCAAGAAACTAGTTGCATAATCTGACATTCAAGAGTTAATGATATTCTAATAAAATAATCACGGTGTAAATTAATTGAAGCAATGACTTACCAGAGGTATAGGAAAATGTGTTGCATACTGCAAGTGACGAAGGAGGTCGTAATTAGATGGAAAAATTAATTCCCTTGGTTTTTCCCTCTTCACCAACTTCTCACAATTAACCGACATTCTTCTGCCCAAGGAAGTATTGGCATTCTCACAGGACTCTCCAGGCATGGGAGAAAAAATCTAAGTCATGTAAAACAAATGTTGGAGATTGTAAATGAAAGAGCAAAAGTAAACCACAGTGCTACAAACCAGAACAAACACACAGACGCTCATACAGTAATACCTTTTCCTGCTTTACTGAGCTAAAAATATAAAGAAATTTTGTTAATTTCCACAAAAGTCATATTCAGATCAGTAGAAATCTGTCAATATATCACCCCTCCCATTTTGAAGATGAGAAAATGACAACTACACACATAAGAAATTTATCTACACTATCCGGAGAACCCAAGATAAAAGCAGACTTATAGGTGTTTTCCTTATAGGGCTACATCTCCTACAAAAACATATACATGATTTTTTTTTTTTTGAGACATAGTCTTACTCTATTGCCTGGGCTAGAGTGCCATGGTGTCAGCCTAGCTCACAGCAATCTCAAACTCCTGGGCTCAAGCAATCCTCCTGCCTCAGCCTCCTGAGTAGCTGGGATTACAGGCATGTACCACCATGTCCAGCTAATTTTTTCTATATTTAGTAGAGACAAGGTCTCACTCTTGCTCAGGCTGGTCTCAAACTCCTGACTTTGGTCCTCCCCCCTCGGCCTCCCAGAGTGCTAGGATTACAAGTGTGAGTCACCACGCCGGCCTAACTAATAAGATTAATGAATAATAGACATAAAGGTTTCAGTCTGTACCCAAAACAACTTTTATAAAAAGTTATACATTGAAATTCATAGGTAGAACATATTGTAATTATAATGAGATAAAGTAAAAGAAGGTATAACAAGTCCAAAGCCATGAAGGCTATTATTTAGAAGCTGAAGACATACATAGCAAATCAACATCAACTGTCATGATGAAACTACATTCAAGCATTCCTGAGAAATAATGATTTCAAAATGAAAAAGAGCCAGACAGCCAAGTAGGAGGACAGGAGTATCATAATTTGCAATGCAACCAAAGCTGAGGATGAACTGAAGTGAGATGCATGAGATGATAATTATACCTTAGACAGACTTATATCACAAGCAAAAGAGTCATTCTGGTACATGGTAAGAAACAGAAGGATGGAGACAAGTTGGAGTGGGAGTGAGTGGGTTAACTGTCAGTAAGAATCGAAGATTGAACCTACTGGAAATTCCGAACCAAAGTCAGTTTTAAAGTCACTCTTGTCTACTTCATCAAAAATGTTAGTGGTTCCTGAGTCAATGCCCATATGCGCCATAATACTCTGTTCCTGATAATTGCCGGAGAAAGAAAGGCACATTGTAAGTTTTGGAATTTATTAAAAAACTGAAGCTAAAACATGACAGTGATATTTTCAACCATCCTATGTCTTTTGTTCCCCCTATTGCCTTTTCTCCCCCCCAAAACTGAAAGAAGCTTTGAGACATGCGTTGCTTTGAATAATCACATTCTTTTCCCTCATGATGAGAAAGTTTCACTTCCATGATATTTTTAGGGAAGAGAGCACAGACTTCCTGATTGAAAACGAATGGGCCACAGTTGCCTTCTTTGGGCTATTCCCTGTCACATATTTGCTAACCTTTCTTATGAAGAAAAATCTAAGATTATATCTAAGATATAAATTACCTTGAAATCCAAGAATAGAAAAGAAAAGCAGAAGCACAGAAAACATGTAAACAGGTAAAGGAACTTTAGTTTTCACCCTTGTAATTTCTACTATCGATAAATTAAGAAACAGAAGTATTTATACTAAAAAATAATTTTTAAAAACTCGGTACCATTTGGAAAACAAATTTTAAGAGTACAAACTATGAATCAATGTTTGTAATTCTAATACCAGGTTTTTAATTGTAAGTAGAAACACTGTTTTTAAAATATCATATGGTATATGCCTAAACTCTCACAGAACCAATATGAGGCTTTTAAGGAATTGTCACAAACTCTCGCTATTTTCTATTATTTTCCCATCAACACCTTCATCATTTTGCCTTAAAAATTTCAGCTAAGTATCTGGAGCAATATCCAAAATATCAGATTTTGGCAGGAAATTATAAAGTCAAATTCATAGCATAAAACAATTTGTTGAACACTTCTACAACATTTGAGAAATAGAGATTACATTTTTAATTAACTAAAATGAAAATACAATGTGTTATGACTAACACAGAATTTCCCATGACAGATAAAAGAATAATATAGGTAATGAACAATACACTGGGGAAACAATGATTCTTAGAATGAAAACTCAGCTGAGAATTTAGAGTCAAAACAAATCCAGTTTTGAGACACAACATTAAAGAAACCTAGAAACTAGAAACATACAGAATTGAAAGCATATAATTCTAATCTCATGAAAAATTTTACAGTCTGCCAAATCTTTTCATTAACAGCTTTACAGTAACCAAAAGAAAATTCTGGAAGACATAAGCTGTCATCAAATATCTTTCCTACGTGAGGAGTAGAGATAAATGAGCTTTGTATTTAATAGCAAGAGAATACAACAGAAAACCATCACCTTTCTACCACTAAATAATCCATCTTAAAGTGGTTCCACAGCAGTTCAGTTACTTTGGGTTGTTTTTTTTGTTTTGTTTTGTTTTTTGGTGGGGGAGGGAATTATCTCCAGGGCCATACCTCCATTTTCACATCATGGTCTTTTGAATAGTGTTCATCTGCATTTTCCCCTGCTGGTGACCGAGGCCTGGTAGAGGCAGTGACTGACAAGTCTCCACGAGATATGAGGGTGCACATGTACGCATCGTGGGAGAAGACATCGTGGCGGATGAACTCACAAAAGAGCAGCACCAGGTTCACAAATTCCACCTTTTCACATTCACTGTTTGGATCCGCTATAGAGAAACAAACTCCATCAAGAATTGCTTGACCCAGTGGGAAAAACAACCAATTACTAACGACTAACAACATTGTCTCTACTTCTGACAATCCTTTTTTTTTTATTTTAACATATTATGGGGATACAAGTGTTACGGTTACGTATATTGCCCATGCCTCCCCTCCCCTCTCGAGTCAGAACTTCAAGCATGTCCATGCCCTAAATGTTGCACATCTTACTCGTTGTGTTTGTATATACCCCCTCCTTCCCCATCCTGCCTGCCCAACACCCGATAAATGTTATTCCTCTATGTCCACTTAGGTGTTGATCTGTTAATACCAATTTGCTGGTGAGTACATGTGTTGCTTGTTTTTCCAGTCTTGAGATACTTCACTTAGTAGAATGGGTTCCACCTCTATCCAGGAATATACAAGAGGTGCTATATCACCATTGTTTCTTAAAGCTGAGTAGTACTCCATGGTATACATATACCACATTTTATTAATCCACTCATGAATTGATGTTTTAATATAAGATTTACTAAGGCCCTAGCATTTTGTACAGAACTGACAGGCAGCTTTTGATTGTCCCCCATAATTAAAAAATAGTATTCAATGTGCCAAGCACAATTTCAAGTTTAAAAATAGTAGTCTCTAATAAATAAACAACCATTTAAGCATAAACCATGTAAAATTTCAGGTTAAAAACAAAAGAATGTAAGCACAGCTAGACTGCTGTCTCCTGGGCTTTACTAATTAAGTAGCTCAACATCCCTAATAATCAGAGAAATGCAAATGAAAACCACAATGTGATACTTATTATCTCACCCCAGTTAAAATGGACAGACAATCAAAAGGACAGACAATTATAGATGATTGCAACATGTTGAGAAAAGGGAACCCTTGTATACTGTGTATACAAGGTGGGAATGTAACTTAGTAAAGCCACTATGAAGAACAGCGCGGAGAAACTAAAAATACAACTACCATATGACCTAGCAATCCCACTACTGGGAATTTATCCAAAGGAAAGAAAATCATTATATTGAAGAGACATCTATACTCCCATGTTCACTGCAGCACTATTCACAATAGCCAAAATGTGGAACCAACCTAAGTGCTCATCAATGGATGAGTGGATTAAGAAAATGTGGTATGTATACACAATGGAATACTATTCAGCCATAAAAAAGAATGAAATCCTCTTATTTGCAGCAATGTATGTGGATGGAACTGGAGGCCACTATGTTAAATGAAAGAACTCAAGCACAGAAAGACAAATATGGCGTGTTCTTACTCATATGTGGGAGCTAAAAAGGTGGATCTCATGAAGATAAAGAGTAGAATGGTGGTTACCAGAGGCCAGGAAGGGGAAGAGTGGGAGAAGAATGAAGAGGGCAAAAAAGGAATATAAATGTATTTATCATCACTGAACTATACATTTAAAAATGGTAAAGATGGTGAATCATACATATATATTTTTATCTCAAATAAAAAAAAAATCAATAACACAGCTCTTGACTAACTTTTTTATAACTTGATGGTATCCATGTAATGGTGGGGATGTGTGTGCACTTTGTCAAAGGAGACTTTTCAACAGAACCACAATATAAATGGCATTTGAAAAAAAATAGTGGGATTCACTGAAAAAGGGAAACTAGAAAAAAAGGACACAGATGGACTTCTGGATGTTTTTTATTTGTAACCCAGTCTATTCAATGCACATTATGATTTTCAATATTATAACTACACTCTAAAGCTTTGTATCTGTACATTTAAGATAAGGTTAAAAATTTTTAAGACTGGCCTACAGAAAAGCTCAATTCCTGGTACCATCACATTCACAGATACCAAGAGGAGTTCTCTAAACCTTAAGTCTAAATATTTCCTCCCACCCACTACCAAATGCAGTGACGAGCAGCCTCTCTCAGAGCGACGCAACAGCTTTCTCTTGCAGACAGTAAATGAGAGCCAGAACTAGCAAAGGCAAAGAAGGGGGAAGTTTTCCCAAGGAGAGAACAGGAGTGGGGATGGGAAGAGGGAAGCAAAGGGGACACGTCTGTCTCCCCCAGGATGTGAGGTAAGTTAGAACTGCAAACTTCCCTGCCTGATAATATATTTCCTGCTGTCAGGCATCTCCTCCGTCCTTTCATTTTTCTCCTTCCCTAGCCAGGTATGCAACCACCATCTGGCTTTAGCACTTACTCTCCTTCTGGCCTAGAACACCACAGTGTTCTAAGAAAGTGCCCTTTGTCTCAGAGACCCTGACCCTTAGGCCTCACTCAACCCCAAATGAGGTCCCTCCTCAGAGGTTTCAGAAGCAACACTATTACTTGCTGCTTTCCCTCTTTCTTCTCCAAAAGTCTTCCCCCTCCCACCCTTTTTCTCCCCTTTCTATTACTTCTCACTTTTTGCCATGTTTCTATTGTTCTATCTCTATCTATCCTAAGATCCTCCCTCCTGTATTTTATCATATGAAAATCTCACGATCATATCAAGCCTACGTGGCTCACACAAATGACTTCTCAGAAGTGTCCACCACAGTCTGAACCCACTGGTGGCTATTTATTCACAAACTCTTCTACCAACAGTAACATAAAAGACAGAAAAAGACCTTGAGGTGACATGAATATCCAAAAGAGTATAGCGAAGCAGCCAACCATTTTTAAAAATTATTTCCTTGAATCAAGGCCCTAGTTATAAAGTACTATTGTTTGACACTTTTTACCCACCTTTAAAAACAGAAGTTAGAAAATTAGAAATTTAGAAAAAAGCTCAAAAAGAGAAAATCCCAAGCCAAAATATATAGACAAACATCACAATACCTTAGCTACTCTGTTACGGTAAAAAAGATATTAAAGGGGAAATAGTATCCCAAATATGAAGGAATGTGGTGACTTCTTAAAATTATTAGAATATGGAAATTTTAAAGTCTTTGAACTTGACTCTTTTTAAAATTGTCTAACAGTCTCCATTAAAAACATGCCACAAAATTGTGCTCAGTAAAACATACAATATATTCAGTATCAAGAACCTTAAATAAAATGGGATTTAAAAAAAAAATCAACTAAAAAAAAGGTTAATCTCATATTTAAGATCTAGAAGCAAAGAGCTTTCTTTACTTACACAATGAGGGTGCCTGTGTATCTAAAAACCTTAGCAGAACATTCTGGAAAACAGGCAGGCTAGATCCAGCAAGAGAGGCTGAAGAAATAGACTCCTTCTCATCCAAGACTTCTGATTCACCACATCTCTACAGATTGAAAATAAATAATCGCAGTTAAGTATACAGGATAAGTATAGTCATAATGGGTCATAAATTTGCTAGTTTTTTATCAATATTTAACGTCTCAGAAAAAACATGGAAAATTGAGACTTCCATACTTGAGGACCACACATCACAGGTGAATAATTTCTAAAAGCTGAAGAAAACTATCCCAGAAAAATTCAAATGATTTCAAAGAATGTCCCTAAAAAACATTATTCACATGAATTATAAACTCCACACAGTGCTATATGAGTGCTCACTAAATATATAACAGCACAATAAACTACCCATTACCCTGAGGCAAAATTGCTACAAATAATTTGAGGTTGTCTTAGTTTTTAAATAACTCATGTTTAACTGTATTCTCCTGGGAAATATTTGAGCACATATTGAATTTGATTTCTTGTACTTGTATAGTTTTGTCAGGAGGGTGTATTTATGAGTCTATTTGGAGAAGTGTGGTGTCAAATGAGAAAGCTAACATAATTCCTCTAATAAGATTCTTTCACTTAATCATCACACTACAACAATAAGATCTCTCAGAACCTCTGAGAATCACCAGAGTTCATGAAATACCTCTAGGGAAGTTAACGTCTACATTCCTAAATACAGAACTTACTAGAAGATCTGAAAAGAAACAGCTTAGTAGCAATCAGAACCTCATTTTCTATTCTTTTAGATATTCCTATAATCATTCCCATTTTCATTATTCCTTAATCTTAAAATATTAATTATATTAAGAATATTATATCAAGATATTATTTCTCCAATCTATCGTCTATTTGCAAAAGGCAAGTTTTAAAGATGGCGATGTTTAATAAAAATCAGTTATCTTAAACATCTCTGAGAGAATACATTTTTAGATATGGATATATTCAGGCCTATTAAAATTACAAACAAAGTAATCTATCTAAGAACCTCTTCTGAAAGTGGTGTGTGTGTGTGTGTGTGTGTGTGTTCTGGAAAACAGGGAGGAAAAGGAGGTACAAAAACATATACATAGGATATAGAAAGAGCAATGAAATACTTGAGAAATTCAACTTTAGTTACTAAAGTTTGTGCACTAGAATTCACCATAGAATAGTGTATCTATTCATAATCTGTTGAAAAAAGCAATAAAAAGCTTTCCTAATTTGTGCATTGTACAATAGGCCACCTGCAGCCTTAAATGTGGCCTTTCGACTGAATCCAAATTTTACAGGAACAAATCATTTTATTTAAAGGGGTGCAGCAGAGAAAGATGATGCTTTCCTTGCTTCCTTTGGTGCTTAAAAAAGAATAATCTTGAAATCAGAAGGCCACAGGTTCCCCACCCCTGAGATGTTCATGCCACAATTTTAATAATATGATTTTTTGGTTTTGGTGAACATGGTTTTCACAACAGAAAGACAGCGATGTCTGCGGAAATGTTCTTTCTATTTCTTTTTTTACTGGCTTCATAGGAAGCAGGTGTATTATCAGCAACACAGAGAACCAGCTAAGGTTTACCCAGGCACACGACAAACCTTCTGAGCATCTACCATGCGCTGAGCACAATTCTGGGTGCCAAAAACACACACTGCACAAATGGGCACGGTCTCTGATGTCACATTTACCTTCTAGAGGGGAAGGCAGGTATTAAACAACAAGCAAACTAACTAGATTAATGTGCACTGCAATGAGGAAAGCACAACAGGGTGATGTGAGAAAGAGTGGCTAAGGGGTGGATCATGTAAACTATAGATCACTTGGTGATGGAAGACCTCCCCAAGGTGACACTCGTTGAGCTAGGAACACTGGAAGGAAAAGACACTTCCTGAAATCAGAATACCAGAAAGAAGCTGGCCATGCAAAACACTAGAGAGCAGAATGCGCCACCCAGAGAAAAATAAGAGCAGAGGCCCCAAGACAAAAGTGAATTTTATGTGTTGGAGGGAAAAAACCAACAGACTGGAGCTGGGACCCCAGGGAGAAAGGTCCAAGATAAGGTGGGAAATTTCGGCAGGCAGGACCAGCTCAAGAGCAGCTCCACGGGCCACGGTCAGGAGCCATGAGAGTCTCAGTAAGAAGACAGTGTGATCTGTTTACATTTTAAAAGATCACTGGCTGCTGCGTAGAGGATCATGGAAACATGAGAGGAAATAGCAAGGAAGGAGGCCTCAAAGTTGCCCAGGTAAGAGATGATGAGGGCCTCATCAGATCATATACACCCTGTAGCTGTCCCTGCTAAAGTTCACAGGCAGAAAAGAAGCCTCACTTAGAAAATTTCTCTTCAACATAAGTTAATGTTTATGAAGTCAGCTTTGTTTTTCCCTTTGTAATTTACTTCTGAGGCTTTGATTGCTCTCTCTGGAGCCAGAACATAATCTTGAAAGCAATAAAAATTGGCATTTATAATCTCATAATCATAAATGCCTCAAGAAAGTATTTCCAAATCCGCTAAAACATTATATAGCTGTAAACTGCATAAAAGTTATGTAAACTGCATAAAAATGTATCTTATCTACCTTTGCAGGTGTATATGTGTAGCGTATTGTGTGTGTATGTGTATCTTAACCTCACAAAATGAATTTCTTTTGTCTACAACAGATGTTAAAATTTTATTTTAAAAATACATATTAAAATTAGTCTGGAATATAAATTACTGGCTGCAACACCTGAGCAAGATCCTACTATGGAATCTTCTTTATGTGAATTATGCATCCTCCCTTTTTTTCCTCAAGAGCAAAAACCAGCATGAGGATAAGAAAAAGTATCCTCCCCAAACAGCATTTTTAAATTATCATTGAACAAGTACAAAGCAAATTAAACCTACCTCTGCCTCGATTTCCGCTTGCCTCTTCTCCAAGAGTTTTGCCACAGCCATGGCCCTGTGCTTGCCGGACCGTTTACAGCTCACGGCCCATTCACACAGTAACGTCACCACGGCTTCGTCGTTGGGGGCGACCTAATGACCAAAAGAAATGGGTAGCAGCCATATCAAAGGAAGCATTCACCCAAAAAGAGTCAGGAAGCAAGCAATGGAAAGGCTAAAGTTTTAAGGCTTTTTTCCCATGTTTTATCATAGCAATTTTAGAAAAATTTTCCAAATCATTTTTAATTGAAGTATAAGGAATAAAAATTTAGTCATAAGAAAGGAAATCACTTACTCAGAAATCCTTTATGCTAGTGGTGCCCAACCTTTTTAGCATCAGGGACTGGTTTTATGGGAGATAATTTTTCCATGGACTAGGGTAGAGGGGAAGGTTTGGGGATGATTCAAGCACATTACATTTATTGTGCAGTCAAACCTCTCTGCTCATGATAACCTGTATTTGCAGCCACTCCCCAGCGCTAGCATCACTGCCTCAGCTCCACCTCATATCATCAGGCATTAGATTCTCATAAACAGCACGCAACCCAGATCCCTCACATGCGCAGTTTACGATAGGGTTCCTGCTCCTATGAGAATCTATTGCTACCGCTGATCTGACAGCAGGTGGAGCTTATGTGGTGATGTGAGTGATGAGGAGTGGCTGTAAATACAGATAAAGTTTTGCTCACTTGCCTGCCACTTACCTCCTGGTGTGTGGCCAGGTTCTTAAAAGGCCACAGACCAGTACCAGTCCATGGCCAGGGTGTTGGTGACTACAGCCTCACGCTAAATCTGTGACAACCCCAAGAAAATTAGAGTTTCCTTGTAGATGCCTTCATTTACACAGCACCATAACCTAGCCCCATCAATTCTCTGGAATACAATTTCAAAACCCAAAAGAAAGGGAAAATGAGCACTGAACATCAAGAACAGCTTGACATTCTACTGCAGGTACCTCAAGGTCTTCCCTCACCACCTCGTTCAATCTGTAATCCTAACAAGCCAGTTATCAAATGACACACTCCAATCAGAAAGTAGAAGGAACAAACCAGAAGGGAGGCTGGAATCCTGATCAAAAATGCATTCCATTGGAAACAACAGACATGAAAAATGACAGCCAAGCATCAAAAGAAACAATTAAAAGCAGACACAGTCAACAAAGGACAGCACGCTGGGTCTATGTAGGGCTCAATACAGTCGGGTCATGCGACCAATCAGCCACAGTTGCCAAGCTTAGAAATGGGCACCACTGACTGAGGATGAGAGGAATCCAGGGACCCAAGTGACGTGAATGGACTGGGAGACAGCATGGAGAGCACGCTTCTGTGCAAGCTGTCCTTTCCTTTCAGAGTATCCTCACCAACCAGCGGAACGTCAACTGGAAGGTTTTAATAATTGCCCACATGTATAAACATTATGCAGAAAAACTAGGTAACTGCATTTTTAGCACTGACATGCTATGTGAGACTTTTTTTTTTTTTTTTTTTGATTGAGACAGGATCTCGATATATTACCCAGGCTGGTTAGGAATTTCTGGGCTCCAGCGATTCTCCCACCTCCGCCTCCCAAGTAGCTGGGACTAAAGACATGTACCACCACACCCAGCTTATGTGAGAAGTAACACTTTAGAATCCATAAACTCAATTACCATGATATAGTTGTAAGTATACTCCCTGGAAGAAAATAATACACACACACACACACACACACACACACGCATGCATTAATTCAACACAACATTTCAGGTTTATGGAGTCTGAAAAGGCATCCGAGAATCTCAGAATAAGAATCCCTGATTGGCTTTAGATACTAGCAAACAATTCAGATCATGAAAATCAGTTTATTCTAAGATTTTTACTAATCCTACCCAAAATCTGGTCATTTACACACACCGTTGACTCAAACCAAAGACATAAGTTCTCTGGTACAGATATCTCAAAGGGAGCTCTGAGTCTCTTAATCTAAAACAATGACAATCACTCAATTAAAATATATAAAGTTTGAATAAAATGTTTAAAAACAAAGCAAATTGGAAGGATTTTCTGCCTGGATTTGAGCAATAAAAATATAAAGGTCTGTCCAGTGAAGCACCACATGCTTATACATTTAGAATTATATATTCAAGAGAACAAGAAGTTACCCTAAAAATACCGCTATCAGTTTTTATTAACCTAACCAGGAATGTGTTATCATATCCACATTTAGAAAGATTTTAATGTTTCCCTGCATCTTCAAAAGTAGAGAACAATATGCTATAAATGTGTGCTGAAGGGTTTTGGTCCTTGGTAATTTCCTGACATATTTAAAAATCTAACAAATATCAAAAGGTACAGTGTCTTTCAATGACTAGACTCATCCAACTTAGGTAATGGGCCCTGCTTGACCTAGAGATGGACAGAAAAGAACATAGAAAAGAAAGGACTTCTTTTGAGCACATCCAGATATGACACCTGATTTGGGGTAATGTGTTAGAAAACAAATCTCAAAAAAGAGTCAATTCACTTCCAAAAGCATCTTATTACATGCGTTTTTGGTTTGTTTAAGTACCCATGATATATGCTAGGCACTGAGGAAACAAAAATTCTTAAAGACCTGGTCCCTAGCCTCAAAAAGTTCACCTTCTAGAGAGAAAAGTTTATAAGACAAGTACTCATAAAAGCAATGCGGAGGAATAAGTCAGTCTATTTATCTGAACCTGCCATACCTCATGGCAGATGAGCATACACCTGTGTCCCAGTTTACTGACATTTGAGATCTTAACTTGAAGACAGGCCCACAGCTGTGGTCTCAATTTCTGATTATTAGGAATTAAGTGAATTACCAAAACCATTGTACTTAAAGATAAAAACTTTAAGTACAATGCTGCTGAAAAGGTTGAGCTTTTTAAACTATAAAAAAATTTCAGCACAGAAATTATGTTCATATCAATTTTCCTATAAAAAGTTACACATTCTAAAATCTATTTTTAACCAATAAACATTTTCCAATATCGGCCAGATTCCAACAGTGCAGTGTCCACTCCTTTCTGAGTATTAAGCAGCTTGCTATTACCTATCCTTGAGATATTAGAATGGTATAGACATGAAGGAATAGGCAGGTTCTATGCCTATTTTTTTTAAAAAAATAAGATATTACTACAGAAATTTTACAATGACTTGCACTAACTACTCAGAATTTGTCTTCAGCAATGAAACTATGGGAATTTTTGCTATTGTTTTCTTTTTTTTTTTTCCATTTTTCTGCAGGCATATGGGTGACATCTCAGTATTTGAATAAAAATGTATAAAATAAGAAAGGCAGATAGGAGAGTCTTCCAATGCAACACAGGAAAGGGGAGGTCAAAGGTGCACAGCCAGCAGTAAATCCCAAGTCCTGTCCAAGACAGGTGGTTCTCAGACCTCAGACAGCGTCTGCCCACCATTTTCTCCTTCGTCCGGGAGAAGCACCCCTACTTTTTCTGGGGCACTGCTCCTCCCCCTGCCCCATGGTGATTCAAGGGGGTATTGCCAACGGTAGTGGACCATCCTCTCAGCTTTACTATTAGAATATATTCTGGATTTGGAGCTTTGATAGGCAGTAAAGATGTAAAGCAATTCTCTGGACACAAGAAAAATATCACTCTATCAGATACTCAGTAGGTGCAATGCCCTGTGTGCAATCTTATAAAATACTGTGGCTACTAAAAGAGACTAGCCTTGACCAACTACAGGGCTTCTCTTATGATTAAAAATCAATCTTCAGAATAGGTTTTCTGCAATATTTATAGCTTATTCTAGTTATTACTAAAGTCTTAGGATTTATAACTGATCAACCAGACATCACAAAAGTAAAGTCTCAAAAGTCTTGATCTTATATGTAAATCTTTCCACAGTCACTTCTAATGAAAATTTAAAATCTAACTGATGGATTGAGTTATGGATATAATCACTCTCAAAATCAATAATGATATCTCTAACTGACAGGTGATAACAACAAAGATAATTAACATTAACTGGGTGCTTATTCAATTAATTCATTGCAATAAATGTGTTTCAGGAATTATTTCTTTTAATCTTCACAACTTATGAGCCATTATTATTATCCCCAATTTACGGATAAGGAGACCAAGGCATAGAGATGGCAAATAACTTATCCAAGCTCACACAGCTAAGTAATAGAGCTCTTGCCACAACATAACTCTTGAAAATGAACCAAATAGATAAAGCAAAACTTGCGTCAAATGAACTTGAGAAGGTAATTTTTACCCACCCTCCAGTATAAACAATGGCTTTCTGTGTGAGCCCCATGCTTCTGGCTTCTGCGGACTATTCTGCTCTGTCATGCTGTAATATTTACTCCCATACAATATGCATATTTCACAGCACAGCCTCGAGGCTATTGGATCTCCAGCTACTAGCTTCAGATACCCATTAGGACGACTGAGGTACCACCCTGGAGGCACACCACTGAGAATGACTAGCAGAAAGTACTTCGCCATCACAACACTATAAAATTGCACTGGGTCTTTGGGGGTAACAACAGGCAGCTTTTCATATTGGTCCTTTACAATATATAGCAAGAAGTTGTTGGACAACCCACAGCACGCATACATGGCTTTTAAGTATGCACAAATGGGATACTTGGAACAAGGAACAAGTCGGGGAGGGGTTGTGAGGGGAGAATCGCGCCCTGGCACACAAAGTTAAGGTCAGAGCAAAAGTACCAAACTAGAGGTCTGGCCCTGACATACATGAAAACACATGATCATGGCAATAACGCTAACAGTTTTAAACTGTCAACCATAAGTAGCAGGAGTAGTAATGATAAAAATATTTATTGAGCAAGTACTAGAAGTTTTACACATATCATCTCTAATTTTAACAACTTGGAAGTAGGTGTGGCTATTCCCATTTCACAGGTAAGAAGACTAAGGTTTTAAAGAAGTTAAGTAAGATGGCCAAGAGCACAGAGAGTGAAAGAGGCAGAACTAGTGAGTCTAATTCCAAAGCCCATGCTTTCTGTTGCACCACACTACCGCTCACATCACTGGTGAATCAAGATTACTCGAAGCACAAGCAGGATCACAGTTTCAGGGAAATCTCCTGAATGCCTCA